CAAGTACAGTTCTCAGGCCCCTATATCTGTACACATACCATATATAGGTACAGTTTCTAGGCCCCTACATCTGTACACATCCCACAAACAAGTACAGTTCCCAGGCCCCTACATCTGTACACATCCAACATACAAGTACTGTTCCTAGACCCCTACATCTGTACACAATCCCACATCCAAGTACAGTTTCTAGGTCCATACATCTGTACACATCCCCCAAACAAGTACAGTTCCCAGGCCCCTACATCTGTACACATACCATATATAGGTACAGCTCCCATGCCCCTTCATCTGTACACATCCCACATACAATTACTTTTCCCAGACCCCTACATCTGTACACATTCCCACATTTATAATGCTGGGAATCCCACAGGCCCATATATATTATAATTAATTGAATTAGTTTGTTGTCTTTATTTGGAATTTCATTTAAGTAAACAATATTTCAGAGAAGCCTAGTGTTTTGTTCAGTGTTATCATGTTATGTACTCTAAGAGAGTTGAATAGGTAAAAGAGACACTGATCCAATGTCATTCATGGCCCTATGAATTTGATTTCTTACTGTGTTTTTTGCTCTGACACATTTTAAATGAGAAGGCATTCATGGCCTTTAATGAATTAAATTTCTGACTGTAGTGTTTCTATGACACATTGTAAATGAGAAGGAGACAAGGCCCACAATAGCACTAACACTATATCTGTGACATTATTTAAAAGGAGAAGATATCTAGCAAATGACTAGAATGGAATGGAGACATTTCTTCCATATTTAAATAGAGGTATCAGTAAGGGCTAAGGTAACCCCTGGTGAACTTTGTATACAAGGGTGGTGGACCACATACACTGTTGGGCGATGCACCAGTCGATAATATAAGCTGACAGTGACTTGTATGGACATGGCACTTCAGGAGTCAGGTAACGCTTGATCCACCTGTTCATGCAAAACGCACTGTGCGTCATCTGCTTGCTCTACACAATACATGGCGTACCTGGAAGGCCTTGGATAGCTAGTGATAGGCAATATATAGTTGTCCCAGACACTAATTAAGTAATAGAAAATTTAATGTTTTGTGTTAATTGACTTCTACAAAAGGGTTGTGTGAAAATTTGTTGGTGGACAGTGAATATTTTAATGAATTCCTCCATTTTCTGGAGCTATGAGACTGGAATGAAATTACAGATTTTATATTTGCTGTGGAATAATTTCTGGATTCTTTTTCTTGGCATTTGGGAATTTTATATACAAAATTTGTTACATCCCAGCATCTGCAGAGAGGAATTTGACCTTTAAATAGTAAAACAACAGGACATTGTATAGCTGTTGACAAGTGTACTACAGACAGCTGTATGTAACAGGTACAACACAATGATGTGCAGTTTTAAGCATGTTTCATACAGTTTATTGTATTTTTTTAGTGAATTCAATAGATTTCAGGTGAATTTGGGACAACGCTATTGTTGCTAGAGGAACAGTATACCTTTGATTAGTTTTATAGCCATTAGCCTGATTTATGAGTGACCATAGGACTGACCATTGGCTATCAAAGAAAACATTATATCTACACAAAAGGAACTAATTTCTGATGGCTGATAAGCAGGACACCCCTAATGTCAGGCAGATAACATGGTCCTCGACTTTTATGTAGGGGGCTAACATCCCACTTGTCACTTTACAGCTTCACTGGCAAGTGTGTTGTGGTCAGTCTAACTAATGTTACTACACTGACAGACTAAAAGGTCAAAGTGGACACGTACAGGTAAACTAGTACAGGTGAAGTGGCCAGTGACTGACTCACTGGAGTGTGTTTACTACAAGGGTTATTCCTGGAATGTTACAACTCCGTTAATACATGTGGATCAAACTTCTCTCTAAACCAGTCATTGTAAGTCCAACGTTTCTGTCGTAAACACATTAGGCAACGATTTCACAATTTCTAAGTCTAATCTCTTCAGAGAAGATTCACGTTGAGCGTTACTGCATTAAGTACATGTCTACCGGATTATTCACAATGTGAAGGAAATTTCATTGTATGTGTTTGATTCGTTATGGGATTTCTTTAATGATTAAAAGTGTACTGTTCTGTATGTGAATTGGTCTAAATAGCCTGGGAACATAAAGACGTGTTCCTCAACATGAGACCAGGTAAGTTGTTGACATCTCGGGGATAGTAACGATACGACTTGTTTGAAACAGATTGGAGATTCATGGTTTGGGTTTGAACTTTGCTTTTTTGTGTTGATGATTTTAATAGGGAATTTCATTATTTTGTTGATACCATCCATGTTTTATTATTGTTTAGTAACATAAATAATTCTAATCGTTGTATTTATGAGAATCACAGTCTAAGTAGAAGCAGGTATATTAGTTGAAAGTACATGCGTCTCATCATAGTCAACAGTAGATTATTTAGAAACTTTGCAAAGCTAATTAGTTCATGGCTGCCGCGTGTTGGAGAAAACTGAACTTTGGGAAACTTTGTGGCTGTCACATTCTGTAGAAAACCAAACTTTGGGAATTTCAATGGCTATCACAGGCTGTAGAAGATTTAACTTTGGGAACTAAGTGGCTATCACAGGCTGTAGAAAACTTAACTTTGGGAAACTTGATGGCTGTCACATGCTGTAGAAAATTTAACTTTGGGAATTTCAATGGCTATCACAGGCTGTAGAAGATTTAACTTTGGGAACTAAGTGGCTATCACAGGCTGTAGAAAACTTAACTTTGGGAAACTTGATGGCTGTCACATGCTGTAGAAAATTGAACTTTGGGAAACTTTGTGGCTATCACAGGCTGTAGAAGATTGAACTTTGGGAACTAAGTGGCTATCACAGGCTGTAGAAAATTTAACTTTAGAAAAGTTTGTGGCTGTCACAGGCTGTAGGAAACTTTCCCTCTAGTGCAATTGAATGCTCCATGAAAAAAATTATGATAATTACTTGTTTATCTTATAATAAGTTAAAATGTGAAGTAGGTAGATTAATGTAGCATTAATAATGACTAAATGTCATACAAATAAGTACCAGTAGCTGTGGCAAATGTGTTTGTAACTCTCTTCAAGGGTAAATCAGGAGACCAGTGCACCCCTCCCCCAACCTGCTGCCCCCTCCAATTTCTATAACAGAGACTTAAAGGTGCTAGTTACCTTTCTCTCAGGAGGTTGGTGGGTTTTAGCAGTTAGTGTTCTCTTTCTTTTCCTTGTACTGATTTAAATCTAAGGTTGAAGATTGATTGTTAGATGGGGAAGTAGGATAGTGTGATGGTAATTATCAGGCGAAGATTCTGGTTTCAGTCACTCCTTTATACATGGCAGTTGAAAAAGAATTTTAAAATAGTTCGTAGTGCTAGCAAATTAATCTAATCCAACCATCTGTAAGAACTCTTTCCTTTTTAAGATTCAAATTTCTTAGTATTCAACTGCAATGGGTGTTTAGTAATTACAAGCTTCACCACATCTGTACTCACTGAGATAATTGTGGAGAGTTGAATCAAACTTTATATCTGAACAAGTCAAAATCTGATACTTATGTTAGATTTCAATTCCTAGGTATATTGTTTCTTTGTGGGAAAAATGACTTGCAAAGATTAAAGTATAGCAGATTGATCTTATATTTCATACTAATCTTGAATATGTGGATAATCTGATCAGAGAATATTACATTTACCTGTGCCAAATTCTTTTAAAGACCCTCAAAAGCTGAGTGTTGACTTTCAGTCAAATGTTAAACAGGTATTATTGGTGTTTTTTTATTGTAGCTCAAGGTGAAAAGATCATAAGTGTTTTAACAATAAATTTTTAGGATCAGACTTAAGATTTGCCTGCAGCGTCAACACAACTGACTTCTTGAGTATGGTTTTCAATTGAAAAGGACAGATTATTGTCAAGATCAATTTCAAAGGTTAAGAAATGATGAAAGAAATATTTTGACTTTCCTATTTAACTTGCCAGGGGGTCTTGTACCAATAAAATTAGATTATTGCAGGTCATGAGAGATGATTTGGAACCTGAAACATCAAACAGTTTTTCTGTGTAATGATAACCACTGGATTCTTTGTACAGTGGGTGACATAACAAGATTTGTGTGAAGGAGACATGTTTTATTAGGCCTGCTGACAGGTATATTGACCAGGGAGATGGACAGGTCAGCAGAATACTGGACACATTTGTTGTTTTTATGATGAGACTTTTTATTTACAACCTGTATTGGTGTTTTTGACAACTTCCTATTCCTGTAAGTGTTATAAGACTTTATAAAAGTGATACCAGTACAGTTGTTATAACTCAGAACTCTGGAGATGATTGTTACCTGTGTCCTGTTATATGGTACTTAATCTGGATTTTTTTGTGAAATTCTCAGCTACAATAATTTCTTTATAGAAAAAGTGGAAGTCGGTGAAAATTACCTATTTTTTCTACAATCAGTATTGTTCCAATTTTAAATCTACAATGGCTGAAGTTGGGAAAATTCATCTTGTTCTTTCTTCCACATAACCAGTTGAATGGATGAGGATTGGGTTTTTATCTATTTCTTTTTTAATGTTTACCCCAGTTCCTTTCCTATTCAGTTTTGAATGAGTGAATGTTGTTATCGTGGTTCAAGTTAATATTTAGATCTTATTTATTTTTTAATCACAATTTGTGTATATAAATATCAGGAAAGAATTAATCTGACATTATTCAGGGATTTTCCAATCTGTTAAATACCACCTGTAGTTGTTTATTACAACTTCCTTGTATAGAGAGTATACCACACAAGTAAAGGGATCAAGGTGATAATTGACCTAATTATTGACCTTATTGACATCTCGCATAGTGTTTATTACACTGACTTTATTTCTGTTCAATGTTCCACAGAAATCTGAGTGAGAGGTCAGAGCTACCTAATTCTCCTGGGTATACATTGTCTACTAGAATTTCATTATCTAATTCTGTCATTCTGTCGTTTGTAGGTGTCTACTAGAATTTCATTATCTAATTCTGTCATTCTGTCATTTGTAGGTAGAGGAAGAAGATACCAGAACGAAATGAGAGATCCAGCAGGAATTCCCAATGGGGTATGTACATTTCATTCTGGTTTTATTACTTTGACTAATTGTGTCAATTTATCAAGGTTTTCCACTGAAGAAAGGAAACATTTCGATATTTGATATACCATCAATGGAAATGCATTGATTCTAATGAACCTGTTGTGATGTTGGAAGCAATTTGTGTGTTAATACAATTCTCACAAGGACATTTTTCTTCAATTTAGTTATTTCATCTGCCATTATGTAAACGTGATTCATGCCATGTTTGAAAAGGCTTTATGAAATATTCATCGTATTTCGTGAAGTTGAAAAGAAAGAAAACGGTAATGATGAATTGGTGAAGCAGAAGTTAAAAAAACTATCAAGTGATTAGATCTGTCCTTGTAGAATCAATAATCAGTGATCAATATCTACAATAATTGTAATTAATTGACCGACCACTGGTCCATTGTATTGGTCACTAGCCTGTCAGGCCACACCTATTGTCATGGTGATATTGCTGTTAGCCATAGTGACTTGACAATCACCTTTGTTATCAGACATGAGAGTTTCTAATTCTGGTAAGGGCTGCCTAAGTTGTGGTTAATATACAGAACACATTACCAGCGTGAGCCAGTATAGACTGCAGACCTTTATTTCCTGTACTTGTAATTAGGTTACAAGTTTCCCATCATGTTTGATTTATCTAAATCAATCAAAATAATTTCTGTTTGTGTGGTGACCTGTATTTTTTGGAGGGCTGGTGACCTATGATTGTTTCCCTACAATCACCTTGAACTGTTGAACATGCCACATGTCTAAATAAAGCCGTTCCTAACAGATAATGATATTGATTTGTTGGAATTAGGGTACACAGCTTTTTTTATATAATAAATACCTGGCACTTTTACTGTGATTCACAAACCTTCGTCTGACACATGTGGTGGGGATCAGTCAGCCGGCTCCTATTGTCTTGCACTCACACCTGGATAAAAAGCTACTCAACTAGACAAAGGAAAACCTGCCGTCAATATTAGTTATGGACACCAGTAATATGAAAAATGCTTTATCTCTGTAATGTCCTTCAGATTCACAAGGGAAATCAAAGCTTCATTGTTTCTCAGTTTGGGTTGTTTATTGAAAGATTCTCAACAAGATGAAACATTAATTGCAGTTTGATAAGGAACAAGCAGTTCAACTTCCAGTGTTTTCTAATCATTAAGGGGTTCAAAGTGAAATGCCTGATGACTCAAGTTCATTTTTATCAATATTCCCCTGAAGACCTACTGAAGCTGATTTACAATAAGTTTATTGAATATCCAGTAAACTGAATGCTAAGTTTTCTCTGCATGATATTGATGTTCCTGACTTCAGGACAAAATTTTAAAAACTTTTCAAGTTCACAGTGGCATTTAAGGATAATTAAGACAGAAACTAATCACAAGAAAGTTGAATACCAAGCTAACATAGCCTTGTACCTACTTCAGTGTCACAGATACAGGTGGCCTGTAATGTTCACGTCTATTTTGATGGACCTATTAAGGAAACCATGTTGACAAGAGATAATAGAGGTGATGTGGGCTTGACCAATTGTACCTGTTGACCTCTGGCTGACTCATACCCAATTGTTTTTCCTCAATTGTCAACCCACACTAAGTTTGGATGTGTTGGTTGTAGGACCTGCCTTATATGGTAGTGAATATGTATAGCTCATTCCTGGCCAATAAAACTGTAGTAGATATGGGTATTGTCCACATGTTTACTCATTAGTGACCACCTTCCTGAGAGGTCAAGGCCGGCAATAATGCTACACGTTTTATGGACTGAGGATTTTAAATGGAGAATGATTTGATGGCTGTTTGAAATGGTATAGGTTTCCTTCTCATGAATTATTCACTGAGCAGAGCCTGATTTTGGCTTGGATGAAGATGTATAGATTTGAATTTTCACACACATGCTTAATGTTGTGACCGTATTCAGTAAAGATTAAATCCTAGGCCCTGGATTGCCAGAGCGATATAAAAGTTTTCAATACAATCACTTTGATTGCCTCTATTTACCTACATGTGAAGTAATATACAAAACTTATACAATACCTCTGATAGTATGTGGAAGAGAAACATATTGTGTGAACAGTTATAAACAAGTTCGACCAGAATTTGTACCCAAGTTTTAGTGTCATTTCTTTATTAGTCTGCCTAATAGTAAAATCATCTGTTGGCTGTTTCCTAATTTTGTCGATATCGACCAATGGTATGTTGTACGCCTATTATTGTGTGTCAGCCAAGCTAATGAACTGAACTGACCTATATCACCTTCTACAACAAATTATTCATGATCTCGTAATACATTGGAGGCATTAGGCTGTGAAAGTAGTTTTCTCAACCACAGCTCATAAAAAGATAACACTCTGGTTCTTATAATATGTCAAAATTAATTATTGTTAACTGTTTTGTGATTTTAAGGGAAGTTGAACATGATAATAAAAACAGATATGTGGATCAGGGATATCTGGAATACTCTACAACCTGTACAAAAATCTATTATCACAAATGGTTTGGTTATCACGGGTTATAACCTAGACATAGGCTAGAGAGTGTGGAATGTGTACAAAAACAGATCAAGTATGTCCTCTACCTCCATTTGAGTAGTGCAGAAAAGGACAGATAGTTCACCCCCAAAATGGCTGTCTCTATGACACTATTGTCAGAAAGCGTAACAGCATAACTTGTCAACTGTGTGCCTGTTGACAGGGTGTAAATGCTGTTTTTTTTAGTATCCTTATTGTTGAGTATATTTTTATAACGGTTTATAGATTAGGGATAGGCCCAGGGAAGGCGTGTGTTGTTCACCCAGAACAAGATCGCAAATCTCATGCAAAGATGTCATTACTGACAAAATGTCAACTAATCACAAAGTATTTGGAGTCATGCAAGGAATGTCGTCATCATTACTACACAGGAAATTAAACTTTAATTTTATTGTCACTGTTAAGTCACCCAAATAAATTAAGACAAAATAAAAAATTGATGAATGGTAGTCACCATTCTTGGTCCATAAATGTAGTGAAGCTTATCAGGAAAATTAATTGTCAAAGATTGGTGGAAACAAGCGATGTCATGTTCATAACAACATTTACCAGTTCTATCTGTAAATGTACAATTTCCATTAAAAACTTAAAATGTTTGCTACTTTATTCCTCAAAAAACAAATGTTGAAGTTTGTTTATAGGAAAGGACTTCTTCACTGCTAACAGCATATAAAGGACTTCTCTCACCGCTAACAACATATAAAGGACTTCTCTCACTGCTAACAACATATAAAGGACTTCTCTCACTGCTAACAGCATATAAAGGACTTCTCTCACTGCTAACAACACATAAAGGACTTCTCTCACTGCTAACAACATATAAAGGACTTCTCTCACTGCTAACAACATATAAAGGACTTCTCTCACTGCTAACAGCATATAAAGGACTTCTCTCACTGCTAACAACATATAAAGGACTTCTCTCACTGCTAAAGGACATCTTCACTGCTAACAACATATAAAGGACTTCTCTCACTGCTAACAACATATAAAGGACTTCTCTCACCGCTAACAACATATAAAGGACTTCTCTCACCGCTAACAACATATAAAGGACTTCTCTCACTGCTAACAGCATATAAAGGACTTCTCTCACTGCTAACAACATATAAAGGACTTCTCTCACTGCTAAGAGCATATAAAGGACTTCTCTCACTGCTAACAGCATATAAAGGACTTCTCTCACCGCTAACAACATATAAAGGACTTCTCTCACTGCTAACAACATATAAAGGACTTCTTCACTGCTAACAGCATATAAATGACTTCTCTCACTGCTAAAGGACATCTTCACTGCTAACAACATATAAAGGACTTCTCTCACCGCTAACAACATATAAAGGACTTCTCTCACCGCTAACAACATATAAAGGACTTCTCTCACCGCTAACAACATATAAAGGACTTCTCTCACTGCTAACAGCATATAAAGGACTTCTCTCACCGCTAACAACATATAAAGGACTTCTCTCACTGCTAACAGCATATAAAGGACTTCTCTCACTGCTAACAGCATATAAAGGACTTCTCTCACCGCTAACAACATATAAAGGACTTCTCTCACTGCTAACAACATATAAAGGACTTCTCTCACTGCTAACAACATATAAATGACTTCTCTCACCGCTAACAACATATAAAGGACTTCTTCACTGCTAACAACATATAAAGGACTTCTCTCACTGCTAAAGGACATCTTCACTGCTAACAACATATAAAGGACTTCTCTCACTGCTAACAACATATAAAGGACTTCTTCACTGCTAACAGCATATAAAGGACTTCTCTCACTGCTAACAGCATATAAAGGACTTCTCTCACTGCTAAAGGACATCTTCACTGCTAACAACATATAAAGGACTTCTCTCACTGCTAACAACATATAAAGGACTTCTCTCACTGCTAACAACATATAAAGGACTTCTCTCACCGCTAACAACATATAAAGGACTTCTCTCACTGCTGACAACATATAAAGGCCTTCTCTCACCGCTAACAACATATAAAAAGGCATATAAAGGACTTCTCTCACCGCTAACAACATATAAAGGACTTCTCTCACCGCTAACAACATATAAAGGACTTCTCTCACTGCTAACAACATATAAAGGACTTCTCTCACCGCTAACAACATATAAAGGACTTCTCTCACCGCTAACAACATATAAAGGACTTCTCTCACTGCTGACAACATATAAATGACTTCTCTCACCGCTAACAACATATAAAGGACTTCTCTCACTGCTGACAACATATAAATGACTTCTCTCACCGCTAACAACATATAAAGGACTTCTCTCACCGCTAACAACATATAAAGGACTTCTCTCACCGCTAACAACATATAAAGGACTTCTCTCACTGCTAACAACAAATAAAGGACTTCTCTCACATTTATGTACATAAATAACTCCTCTATCTAGGACACCTGTCATTACTTACTGGCAATCTAAATGGA